GGGGCGGGGCGGGGCGGGGCGGGGTGGGGTGGGGTGTGGGGTGAGGTGGTGCAGGCGCAGGGCGGTGGCCTGAGCAAGCCCAATTGCAGCTTCACAGGAAAGTTGAAAGGGCACAAACCTACATACAACTGTTCATGCATGAAACCAGAAACCAAATCATAAACCATTTCGGGAGCATAAATGAAACCATAAAGGGAATCATCAACTTTTACTGAGCCATAAATGAAACCATAAACATAACCATAGGCATTTCCTGAACCATAAAGTAAATCAAAGTGAAAACCAGAAATTAATGTCGGCCGACCGATGTGTCACCAGCGAAGCTCGCACGTCTCTACTCTAGACAAGCTGTGGACCCTGGCAAATAGCCAACGAGGGCTGACTTCCGCTTGACTAAAAAGCAGAGACATTGCTTGACATCATCCAGCACGATAGATGCACAAGGACCTTTAGAGACCATATATGGGTATGTTACGTAGGACTACGTAGGAATTGCAAACGCCTGAGGACTAATTTTGACAGACTCCCATATGCCGGGAACGAGCTGTCATGGCCATCCGGAGATGCGTGATCGTCGAGGTGAAGTCACATGAGCCATAGCCTAAACTCCTAGTTTTCCCCTTAGTACACTCGTATATAATTCCCAATGTAACCCCCTTTAAGGATTTTGACTTTGGCTCATGGTTCTAGGGCATCAGCAGTAGGACTGCCACCTGAAGCGTAACGATAACGCCAACAAAGCCAATCCCTGTAGCGGCAAGAAACCCTACGTAGTCTGTACTTACGACTGGTGTATGTGCCGAACGCCTGAAACATCGGCCTCCCTCTCATGAAGCGCCGAGAACAGACATCATTCGGATCCTTCCTTCATTCTCGTTCGCAAGTGCCCTCCTAAATCCATTCAGGAGATTTCCCGAACCACGGTGCCGCCGCACACCGCTCAAGCTGCTACAGGTAGGTAGGTTCCCATGAAACACTATGTAAAATAACCTAAGTCCCCAATAAGTATCCACTTAGTCTGCTGAACCGCCATTTTGCGCAATTGCCAGGGCTCCAGACGACTTGCTGCTCCCCTCGGTCAGCTGCGACATGGAGAGCCTGCACAAGCATGAGAAGTCTTGTGCAAATCAGCAACACTTTTCATGGGCTTTTACTCGAGATCACTATTCAATACACCAATTCTTGGCATTCCTAATCCCGAGGACCGAATCCACTGACGTTTGAGCTTTACCAGGAACGAGTCTTGTAGATACTAAGCTCCTCGTCCTGGTTTTTGTGCGGCTAGTTGCTCAAAATTTAGCTCAAGAAGAAGCTCTGAGTCCCAGACCGTCTGCCGATCAAATCTGTTCACGGCTGTTAGCAGCAAGAGCGCGCGGTCCGGCAGCTCAATAGGAGGCCTTACGCAGATCTTGGAAGGGCATGATCGTAATGCTTCAGCTGCAAGCAACACGAGCGCACTGAAACAGCAATGCGGTACTCCTTTAAGAGCATGAAGAAGCGTCAAACCCTATTGCCCTTAACTGATGGTTTAAACATCCCACCTACATACCCTCCTTGTTTCAACCTCGCGGCCCTCTCATCTGTGTGCCCCGCCCAGCATGCGTAAGGAGCGCTTGAACACACACTGTGTGACCTCAGATCCCAGGTCAGGGGACCTTCTAGGAGCTTCGACTTTCTGCGCACGATTTCCGACATCTATGGGGCACATGCGCCTGATCCATAAGTCCCTTGCAATATTGCAGTAGCCTATCACGTAAAAATGGGCGGCCGCTGTGTACGACAACGACAGCGACAGCAGCAGCCGCAGCCACATCCAACACCAAAAATCAACCACCAAAATCAGAGCACCCAGATCCAAACCCTAAGCTCCCTGACAGCATTTTCTGCACAAGCGTACCCGGCCTCCTGCTGCAGCGAAATGCAATGCGGTGTTGCCGGCGCTGTTGGACTCAATGCAGAGAGCCTTCACATGAAAGATAAGCTGAGAAGGCAACAAGAACAGCATACCATGGCTTCAGTTGTTCTTGGCCTCTCCGAAGTTTCGTGCACAGACTGCGCTACGAGTACGTTGGGCCAATGCAAAGCTTTCGCTAGCTTCCGCTGAAAACCTTGAAGTTCAACAGGGTCTGGGCAAGCCCGGGGCCCGGGAGCCTGGATCTGCATGGCTCAACAGCATAAAGCCCAAAAGGAGTCTTGACTGAGATCGCAGCAGTCGGGTTTGGGGCAAAGTCTAGAAAGCACTTCACCACAGCCTGGCTGGGTTCCGTCGGAGTTCGCGAATTAAGGGTCCATTCAGGCGGGGGTTCAGGCTTGAAGCGTTGAGGGTGTTACTTGTGGTGGTCTTCAGCTGGACACTCCGAAAATTGTGCTGAGCACCGTCAAAACATCATGCATCATCATACACAGCATCCCACGTCTTGATCCTGACTTCCCAGACAGTCCATGTTGACGGTGATTGTTTGCTACTGTTGCAATTTTGGAGGACTGTTTTGGGGTCCGGAATGCCCACCCGCGGAGCGAAGGGGAGGGGAGGGGGCCTGCGTCAAAGGCAGCTGATAGATCAAGACTCGAAGTCATTCTTGCTTGCTAAAGATTCCCGACCCCTGTTTGGACCCTGCCCCACGGTGCTGGACCTGCCAGCCAGAACATCTTTTGTTTAAAAGGGGGATTCTCAAAAACTCCATACTCCGTTACCTCTATTTTATGGAATTTGAGCTCGGGGCCAGGTGTCCCTGCTTGGCAGCCAGGTGTAGTGGCCTCCAGCAGCCAAGGATCGCTTCTGGGGGTCCCTATTAAAAGGGCTATATAGTATTTAATGGTCCCCCTACTTAGGGAAACTACCAAATCCCCCCTCTTCTGAAACAAGACCCGCCGCTCTCTGATGCCAAATGCTCGCCGAGAGTGGGGTCGTTGTAAAAGAGAGGAGAGGTGTCTGGTCACGGTGTAGGGCTTATTGGTTTGGGGTAATCAAGCCAACCGCCTGTTGTGGCAAATCCTAGTTGAGTTCTGACCCTGCATCTCCACCACAGGCTTCTGCAAAAGTATGGTTCCTTCTCTGCACATGACGGTGATTTGAAACTACACGTCCGAGACGGTGGCCGCAACGCCGAGCTGTTTTTCTGCGGCATCTGCAGCCTTGGCGACAAAATGAGGCATGAGGGCCTTGCGTTCAGGACTTACGGTTGAGGCATGGAGATTGAGCACTTGGGGTTTGGGCGCCTAGCGTTTAACTGGCAAGGCACATGAATTCACCTCAACGAGTGTTCTTCTTGACCCAGGCTATGAATGGGATGTAGAGATGAGTCAACGGGAAAAGTACAGGCATGCCCTCAGAAACGCACCGTAGTTCGAGAAACTCTTCGTCCTGCTGGCACTCTGTAAGGGCCCCACAGGGCCAGACCATTTGGCGAGCGCTTGAGCAGAGCGTGTGCAGTAGTCTGCCCGAGCAGGGCTTTGGGTCTTCACTTTGGTGCAAAAACAGATAATGCCCTAGGCCTCCCATGCGCCTATCCGATTCAGCTTATGACATGAGGGCTTGGCATGGCTTATCCTCTCAAACTGCCTACAGCAGGGGGGAAGTCACCGTCTGCTGGCATGGCTCAGCGAAGCATCCAAGGTTAGGTATCAACCGCGATGCTACGGCTTCAACTGTGATCCAGCTTGGCAGGGCTGGAGCCTCATGGCCATCGCGCGCGGCACAGTGCAGAGGGGCCATGCCGTCAGCGTTTACCGCCTGACCTCGGTCGCTTTGCTGCGCGTCTGGGATGGTCTGCTGGTGATAAGTCAGCATACTTGCTGCCAAGACCCGAATTTTTTTGTTAAGCGCTTGTCGCAAAGATGGCAAGGAAAGTAGGCGGGGTACAGACTTGAGGGCGGGGGGTCGAAAGCCCGAACGACCGGAAGATCTCATGAAGAAGGAGGCAATATGAATAAGAGCAATGATGAACAGATTGAGGGACATCACCTTGCTTAGACATCCTCTTGCCAATGATAGTTGCTGATTCTATAGTCTGGACTATAAAAGACAACCCGGCATGTGGGGAAGTCTCGGTGTTTCTGTGGACTGCTGTCAGCAGTTCGGCGGTGTGTCCGTCATCTTACAATTGAACACAAATGAAGAAAGAAAGGAATGTGCAGGGGTAGGATTTTTTTACGGCTTTCCGTGGCTTGCTGATCCCCTCCCCCAAATATTTAACCCCGGATCTTCTGAATTTGGGGTGGTCACTGGCATGACTCCTAAGGATTAGGATCTCCTTGAGTTCCAAGATTTGGATCGCTTTTGGATGCTTGGTATAAAGGAGTTCATATATACGATGTTATTGGTTTTACTGCGATTCTAGATTCTAGATCGATTTTAGGTGGATTCTAATTGGATGAAATCACATTTCATTTGATACTCATTTGATCTTACTCCCGTTCTAGTTAGATTTCGATTAATTGATTTTACATACCTTTTAGATTTAATTGATTCGGTTGCGAGCTTGGATGTGTTTACCATGCTTTCTGAGCTTTTGTGATTTCAACTGCTTTTAATTCGATGCTAAATGCTTCTCTTACGATTTTAAGTGGATTGGACCTTTCTTTATTTGATTGAAGCGATATTCATGCGGGATTATTTAGATTGCAATAGGATCCCATTCTATACCCCACTTCTGTCGGTCCCTTTTCCATGAGGGAACAGGGATACACAACTCCAATCTATTCGAGGCTCAAGCACAGCTGCATGGGCTCCGGTGCAAGCTCGAGGAGCATGTCGACCACTGCCTGTGAGGGCATAACTTGAAAGCGCAGTTTCACACTTCTGGGCACGGCCCAACATATGTCAGAATATCGGTAGTACAAAGCTGGAACCATGATTCTATGGTTTCTTCCGTACATACCGAACATGGTACGAGCAGGGTGCGGCGATTCCGAAGACATAGGCGGGCCACACCGTAAAGGGCCACTGCCAAGGGACTTCAAAAAACATTCAAGCATACGATGTCTATTGAGCATGCAGCATCATCATCACACATGCAGGGTAGTTCATGCAGAGGGTTAGAAGATCATTGGAGCCACTGAAGCTCGGTGGGGGGGGGCGGGACGGTGAGATACCACAGGGTTTCCTGGCGCCTTCTGCAGCTCTGCTTGAAGCTGTGCTCAAGATATTGTGCTCAAGATATTGCGCTGCACACCCCTCACGCCGTGAACTTACACCCCATAAGCGTCCACAGAAATAAGAACCTGCAAGCATTCCACGCTTCCTCAAAACTTCCGCACCGAAGCTCAACAACCTGAAACAACTCCCCAGCCAATCGTGATAAGGTACAATATGAGCGCTGCGAAGTACTCACGGTTCGTACTACTCATAATCATAAGGGGAGCAGTGACACGAAGAGACGCTACATTCATTCCTCTAGTGATTTCAAGAGTTCGGCTCCTTGTGCCCGTGGACAGCTGCAAAGTGAAGGCCAGTCTGGTTTACGCCTTGGATCACCAGGGGCAAGAGTAGTCCTTGCTTCATCTCGACCTGTCCCCAGCAAACCTGCAACATGGCAGAGACACTGAAGAGCTGCTGAGGGAGGCTCCTTTTTGACTTGGATGCCAGACGGCGAGTTCGTGCGCAAGTCTTTCTTGCAAACGATGTCCCGTTTTGACTTGGATGCCAGACGGCAAGTTCGTAGGCAAGTCTTTCTTGCAAACGATGCCCCATTACATTATGGCCCTTATGGGTTTCGCGACCGACAAACAATGTCTTCTGCATGCATGTCTGGTGCAGGCACCGACTCCAAGCGAGCACAGCGCCTCTCCTTCAACCAAAACACACTGGGCTTGCAAGAATATAATCTCACAGGATGTAATCCTATCGCCTGTTTCGATCCTGTTTTCAGGAGGAGTGCTCTCTCAGTGCAGGACTTCTTTACAAGCTGATCCCTGTACTGTGTACACTGTGCGATCCGAGAGCATACGTCCGATCCACGGTCCCATGAACAACTAGACTGAAAACCGGACACATGATTCATCGATTTGGCCGACCAACTGAAGGAGGCGTTCACAAAATTGTGATCCTCTTGCTTGTTCAAGGGACCGTGTAGCCTTCCTAAAAAAGTTTGGAGAGCCAGTCGCAAAGAAAAAAGTTTGGTAGGCACATTGCGCCGCATGCAACTGTGCAAGGCGGTCCTCCGCTTAAAAAGTATCGCCGAAACGCAATAAGCACCATGGCGCTGGCCTTGGAAGACGTGCAGCCTGATTTTTATATGTCGGTACCGGGCCGACCTGAGGCATGTACCATGAAGGCCTGCTGTAGTCACGAAAGTGCTCTGATCTATCACCTAGCACTTAATGTGAAGTTGCCACTGCTATCCTCTCATGAGCGAGTACTGCCGTTTAGCCGTTCTAGAATAGAAGCCCGCATGATGGGAAAGAGGGGTTTGAGGTACAGTACCACGCTATTGAAAAACTTATGCAAACACCGCCAAGGCAAACTCCGGTTGCAGTACATCTACATATACCTACAAACGCATGTGAATATATGCATGTATATCTACGAACATGTATACAACTGCATATATGCATACATGCATGCATAGTTGATCTGAAGGGCCTAGCTGAACCTTTTGCAGTCTTGTGTCTAGATGTATGCATGTGTCTGACTGTCTGAGTAGCTGCCTGCCTGCCTGCCTGCCTGCCTGCCTGCCTGCCTGCCTGCATGTTTGTATGCACGTACATATGTAGGTATGCAGGTATGCAGGTACGTAGGTATGTAGGTATGTAGGTATGTAGGTAGGTAGGTAGGTATGTATGTATGTATTCATGCATGTATGCGATGCATGAGTGTGTGGTGTGCATGTGATGCACGTATGTAAGTAAGAAAGTATGTATGTATGTATGTATGTATGTATGTATGTATGTATGTGTGTACGTACCTACCTACCTACCTACCTACCTGCCTGCCTGCCTGCCTACCTACGTACCTACCTACCT